TATGTGCTTTTTAGTTGGACAGAAATAGGAAATAAGTTCATCTTGTATTCAAGCTCATTTAACATTATAGGGACAGTACATCATGGAGCTTTGCATTCCTGCCAATGTTCACTGTCAAAAGAGTAAATTGCCAGCTTTCACATAGTTGCATATGCCTCCATACATATATATTCAGCAGAGGCATATGCCTTCTTGCTGTAAGGTTATAATTTAACATATTTGATCAGAAAGATGGATGTGCTGGAAGCCTGCTCCATTTCTAATAATTAAAAAGAAAAAAAAGAAAAAAAGAAAAAAAAAGAAACCCCTCTTAAATTTATGTAGGATATATCCTTTGTTGATTTTTGAAAATGAAGGTGGCTGACCTGCCTGTCATGCTGAGTCACACAAGCACTTGCTCAGTCTCTTCACATGTCAGAGGAAATGGAAAATAATTAATTATTTGAGATAAAATTCTGGTCCCACCGAGGTTAACAAATCATTTTTCCTGTGGGATCGCAAATTCACATGGCTATTTTTAGCTATTTTTAATTATAATGGCAGTTAAATGGAAGATGACACTGAAATACTTTCCTGTCTAATGTACTACTTAGAACTCTTGGTGTTCGCATGTGAAGATAGTCATCGAATGCCTTATTATTCCAATGAGTAGTGCTGCTGGCTTCAGAAGAGAACGTGGCCTCCTGGAGTACTTCCTTCAGTATTTTGTATTCCTTGGAGAAGGTAACACAGAAGGTAGTAACATCTTCAACTTTGACAAAACCTGACTTTGCAATGAGAAACCTACAGTAGCCTACAGTCCAAAATGAGCTGTCAGACTATTACCCATCATCTCATCTTGCAGTGCTTTTATCTAGAACCTATTGTAGCACAGCTCTTTCTCTGAGGTGTGCTACCAAGGCTCCACATTAATATGTTTGTTTCAACTTTGTTTTTGTATCCGAGCTGATGATGATGAGGTTTCCAGTGCCTTAAAACCACATAATGGTAACATCTTCTCAGATACCAGGGAAAAGTTTGGCAATGTATCCATTTTGGCTTTGGAAGGACAGGGTGGTGTTTGGAGAGGAAATGGCTGGCAGGGGTCTTTTCATGCCATAGAAGATTCACGTCCGACTCCAGGCCTGTTCCTTGCACTTCTGTCTGTAATGACCTTTCTCACACATCTGAATCTGCTGCTTGTGTTGACAAGGAAAATAGGGTCAAGGCAGGGATTTGTCTGATTATACACCAGAGGATTTGGAAGAAGCAGCCACCTCTTCTCTGTACATCAGACACAACTAGCACCCACAGCCAGAACTAATGGAAAACCTGCATCTCACATATAAAAGCTATGCCACACACAAAAGTTATTATAAAAATCCCATTATTCACTTTACAAAACAAAAGGGGGGGGGGGTGGGGGAAGGAATTTTGGCTCTGGCTACAGAAGAAAACCTCCAGTCTGAATGGGTAAGGAACAAGGGGATCAATAATATCTTATGTGATTAAGAAGTTTGCTTTTAGCTTCTTTTTTCTTTCCAAATCAGACCTTATTAAAAATAAAAGAAAGGAAAATCGGTCTCTAATGACTATTCCAGCCTCCATCAGTGATGTGTATTTGGAAATGGGGCAAGTCCACATAACCTCTGTCCTCCATATCTTTGACATAATGTTATATTTTAGAAAAGCACTTGAGCTATGTCTGACACATGCTGAATGCCAGTTCTCATTACAAAATCTCAGTAAAGTAGAAACCTGGGCCCCCTGAAACCATCTCAGCTTATAGAAGGAAAGCAAATGGCACTTGCTTGCCGATACAGAGGTAATTCAGACCTATTTAACAGTAATTCATGGGACAGTTAGAAATCTGACTGTAGCATTATGAACTGCAGAAAGTAAAGAAGGTTTTGTCTCCAGGGTCCTGTTCTTCTGTAAATGGTGATGAAAAGCATGGTGAGTAGGGAAAGCTATACTGCAACATACAATCCAAGAAGCATCTTGTTGTTTCAAGTTTTGCATGTTCTTTTTTTTTCTCATGTTGGGGAAAACATCACATTTAGCACTTTGCCAGGTTACTCCAGGTCACTCACTTATTCTTGAGAAGTTTCAGTTTGTTACTTTTTAAACAATCTCCTCAACTTACTTTTCCTCTACAATGTAAATGACCACTATCAGGGTAAAGCAAGAGGCTCTACAGGTGAAGTAAGGCTGCAAAAAAATAAATAAACTAATTACTTTAAGCCAGGATGAGTGTTTTCCTTTAGAAGCAGCAGTTGGCTGCAATTTTGGTTTTAGACCAGTTACAGAATTACTGACAAAAAGACCTAAACATGTTTAAGGAGATCTTTAAACTTCTAAGCTTCTCTTTAGCTCTTGCAACTCTACTAAATCCATTCTGCTGGATACCACACTCTTATCTGCTGACCTCTCCCCTCCTTCTTCACCCTCAGAGGAGGATGAAGTGCTTGAAATCGAAGTTGTTGAAGTCCTTTATATCACAGGGTATAGTTAGATGTGGTGTCTGAAATTACGTAAAGCTCTCTACTATTAAAAAGGCACAGCTCTCTCCCACGGAAACTCTTGGATACTTCCACACCATTTCCTGAGTGGACTTTAGTTGTGGAACTAGAAGAAAATTTACATCTCAAAGCTCACTGTCCAGAGAATTTTCATCTTGCAGAATACATCAGAACTGCATTGCAAATGAGCTGTCAAACACTAAAGACAATGTAGGATGGGCCATAAAGGAACTGCCCATCTTCACCACAGATCAGCTGGCTTCTTATTGAACCATACTCCAAAAGCTAAAGTCCAAAATCAACCCTGCTGAGTTTCAGTTTGCTGTTCTAACTGCGTACTGTGCCACAAATCTCTCAGTGAAGACTCAGTATCAACGTGGTAGAAAGAACATAAATGCAGAAGGTAGGGATTAGTTTCTGTGCTTCAGGATCTATTAACTAGATAAAAAATACCAACATCTTTCTCCAGTACTTATTACAGACTATTTAACTTAAAACAATTAACTTTCCCTTAACCCAATTTTCTCCTTCTCCTGCAAATATATTGAACTTAGCCATTGTGTCTGCCTATCTATCTCATCCCTACATTGCCAATTATGCACTTAAAGAACTGTAGTAACCATTGATAAAGTGGTACTCTTGCCACATGATAAAATAGATTTGCAGTTGTTTTGTAAACAGAACTGAAATGTGATCCTTTCCTGTGAGACTCTAATAACACAGAACTTTAGTCCATAGGACCAACCACTGTTCCCATAACATCAGAAAAACAGGTTTTCTCTATTCAATGGATTTGTAATGATGAATTATGACACAAGCATCCCTAAGCAGGTAAAAGACCATATATTAATACTGATTTTTCCAAGAACACAACTGGAGCCTAAGGAAGAAGCTGCATCTCTTAGGCCAGGAAATTTTTTAAGACATTCATGGGGTTACTTACTTTCATTTTATATTTTGAAATTAGTGGCATTCAGAGAGACATGTCTGGAGTTAATAAATGCTGTTTTCATTGCAGATTCAGTTTTGTTTCAATTGTAGTTCACACTAGTTTTATTTTTTGTCACTAACAGCACCTCAAGCACTAAAGAGCTCACAGTTTTCTGTAGTAGATATAATGGGCTTAAATGCAACATATGTTCAAGCCATTAGAAAAATAAACTATTCAGTGTTCTTGTGTTGGTAACAACTGTTATCAAATTGTGATGACTTTTCTGTAGATATGACTCGGCTTCAGTGAAAGTATCCCATCTAGTCAAGTGTCCTTTTAATTCATAGTAAATGCCCTCTTCTTCATTTCAAATGAACACTTGGAATAGTCTCCTACTTCTTCAAGGAAGTCTCTTGCAGACCTGCAGCTTGCATGTATTAACAGTCTCGAAACACTGTGATGGGCTGACCCTGCCTGGATGCCCGGTGCCATCAAACCCGTTGTATCACTCACCTCCACAGCTGGACAGGGGAGAAAAAATACAACCTAAGGCTCGTGGGTCAAGATACGGACCCGAAGAGATCACTCACCAGGTACTGTCATGGGCAAAACAGACTTGAGGAAATTTATTACCAATCAAATCAGAGTAGGATAGTAAGAAACAAAAATAAACCTTGAAAAAACCTTCTCCCCACTCCTCCCTTCTTCTTGGACTTACCTTTACTCTGAAATTCTCTACTTCCTCCACACAAGTACTTCAGGGTGATGGGGAAAGGGGGTTGTGGTCAGCTCACCACATACTGTTTCTGCCATTCCCTTTTCCTCAGGAGGACTTCTCACACTCTGCCCCTGTTCCTGTGTGAGGTCCCTCCCGTGGAAGACAGTTATTCACAAAGTTCTCCAACATGAGTTCTTCCCACAGGCTGCAGTTCTTCGTGAACTCCTCCAGCGTGGGTCCCTCCCACAGCGTGCAGTCCTTCAGGAACAGACTGCTCCAGCATGGGTCCCCCACAGGGTCACAAATCCTGCCAGCAAACATGCTCCAGCACGGGCTCCTCTTTCCATGGAGCCATAGGTCCTGCTCCAGCATGGACTTCACACGGGGTCACAGCCTCCTTAAAGCATACCCCTGCTCCAGTGTGGAGTCCTTCAAAGGCTGCAGGTGGAGATCTGCTCCACCATGAAGACAACCTGCCTCATGGTCCTTACCACAGGCAAATCTCTGCTTCAGTGCCAACAGCACCTCTTCCCCTCCTTCTTCACTGGTCTTAGTGTCTGCAGAGCTGTTTCTTTCACATATTCTCATACCTTTCTCTCGCTGCAATTGCTCAGATTCCTTCACACCCTACAGCCCTCTTTTTAACTATGTTACCCCAGAGGTGCTACCAGACTCACTGATGGACTCAGCCTTGGCCAGCAGCAGGTCTGTCCTGGAGCCACGTGGCACTGGCTCTATTGGACAGAGGGGAAGTTTATGGCGGCTTCTCACAGAAGGTACCCTATAGCTACCCCTCACCTCACCGCCTCCTGCTACCAAAACCTTGCCATGCAAACCCAATATAAACACATTTCTCTTTATCTGCTGCTCCACAGCAGCATTTATTCTCTCAGTGAAAAGTCAGCCTAGGATAGCATCAAATAAACGGTACAGAACTGCCACTGGTGCAGTGGGGCTGGATGATTATACAAAAACAGAATTCAAGCCACACAAGTTTTTTAGAACACTGGTGCCATATGTTCTAAGAAACGTAATGCCAGATGATGAATACTGCTTTTCACACAATTTATCTTGTACAGTCCTTTCAGGTTCACACCACAGCAGATGCATTTTCTTTACTGTTTTCCATCATTTTGGAACTCCAGCTTCAGAAGCTGGTCCTCAAACTTTTTAATGTCTACTTGATGCTTCATTAGGAACTCCCCATTTAAATGAAAAACGGGTATGTCATATTTGTATTCATCATACCATGCCGAGTTCTCTGGAAGGGTAATATCCACCTCCTGCAAAATAAACTGTCACAGAAAAAAAGTGTTAGTACCTACTGGACACTGAGAAACAACACCTGCTTTTATTTTTTTGGTAAATGCAAGGCTGTTTTCTTGGTGCTTTTGGATTTATTCTTCCATGTTGTAGACAACTACCCATTCTGTGGGTACAAAATGTATGTAGCCACAATCCTTGGCCATGTGTCCGCAAAGGACTCTCTCCCTGGTAGAGGATGATACTCTTGCTCCTGTGTGCAGAGCCATTCTCCTGTGAGCACCAACCACAACAAATGTGCAGCTGGAAACACACGGCTGCTTATTAGGCAGCAGAGTGCAAGACACTTAATGCTTCTGTTAACAGTTTCTTCAAGAAAGAGATCAAAATCTGTTTGAAGAACAGCAAAAACTGCAGTCACATACAGTTCAAATATTTGAAGCCCCACTTACTAACATCCTTCACAACTTATTATCTGCTTTATAAAAATTGAAAAATCCTCTATCAGATGAGACATAGTATTTACTAAAGCTGTGGTTTTAAAAACTGTTGTGACAAGGTGTATATTGGTGCAGTTTGTCAATACTTATTTGAGTAGCATTGTTGCAAAATGCTTTTGGATAATGAGTTTTGTTGAAATAAGTGCTGAAATTGTCTTGAAGAGTCACCCATGAAAGCAATGCAAATAAATCCACGTAATTTTCTTTTACAAATTAAGAATCCTGATTAACTGTCCTTTCTATACAGAAAATGTAGGCAACATCGCAATACCTTACCCTTCTCTTATATGGTTCAAGCACTTCTTTTGCTTCATCACATAGAGGGCATGGTTTCTAAAGAAAAAAAAATCAGACCAACTTAAAGCATACAGTAAACCACACAGATCATCTGTACTGTAAAGTACCATACACTGACAGGAGTGATCATTAGTGTAAATATGGGTTCTCCCCCCGTACCACCCTGTCTTAATGCTTTCTAAATTTATTTATCAGTGCAACATGGATAAAACAAAAACTATTCAGCCAAAGAATTTAATTATTTCTTATTTGCAATTATTTTTCTCATGGTGCAAATGAACAGCTTTCAATGGCTTTTCTAAAGGCTGATTCAAGGGCATATTTTGAAAGGTCATGCACAGACCCCTTCTTTTGGTCAGCAGCAATGGATATTCAAAGCTGAAAACAACTGCAGCTACCAGTCTTGACAGAAGCATTTCCCTTGATAGAAGGGGAATGAGGAAGTAATTTCTAATCAGATTGAGTCACTATGGTCAGTTCAAATACCTAAAGATGGTGATTTAAGATGACCTGATGGTTATCTTTGCCTGAAAGGAATTCAGCATGATCCTCCAACCTGCAGGAAGAACTGGCAAACAGCTGCAGCGTTTTGACCTGTTATGGGGTCAAAGAAAACATGTCATTTTTTAAAATTCCTTAGTCTTCCACCGTAGGAAGCTACTCTACAGCTGACTTCTCCTGGGCATGCATCGTGATTATTAGATTAGTGAGTACATGAAGAAGTAACTCACATGAAGGCATGCTGCTTCCATTACTGTAATGCCAGAGTCTGGCCTGAAATTCACATAGGAAAGCATATAATGGTGAAGGTGATGGCTGTTTCACTGCCACAAAGTACCTTCTCCTCTTCCTCCCACTTAAAGTGTTTCTAAGGCTTGTTCAAACATGGAGTCAATCCTCCACATCAGTTTTGTAACATGCCCGGCTCCTAACAGTTAAAGTAGGATATACTTGATTCCCCTAGGTCTGTGGAGAGCTTTCTACTAGAACAGTCACATAAAAGCATTTGACAAACTAAGCTGACTCTTAGCAAGGAATACGTTTTTACTACTTGAACTATTTTAAAATCAGATAGTGAACTATGTTAACTAAAAGTGAAATCTGTTCAAAAAGTCCATTTATATTAGTACACAGTTTTCAATAGAACGGTCCAATAGTAGGTTTCTGCCATCACTTGATTTATGTTAATTTGTAATAGAGCTGCCTAGATAAAACTGTCTTGGACAACTTTCTCCCTTAGATGTATGTTACAATGGCAACAGGGACTCCCACTGCTGAGGCAGTAAAAACCCCTTCATTAAGTGACATGCAGTGCTGATAGCTAGATCCGTTAGACTATGCACACAGTGGGAGGGACAATTTTATTTCTACAGATAATTGCCATTTATGCTGCATACTTAGATTGCAGTTTTGTGGTCAGTCTAAGCTGGCACTGATGCTGAAGGAAGTAAACACATCTTCCTGTCACTGTTTCTTTTGTGCTCACATAAGCACTCAGACAGCTGTACAGTAGACACAGACAGGAGAACTGATCTGAGTTAACAGCAACCTTCCCCCCCCCCAAAAAAAAAGTTGGCGTTTTTTTTTCTTTTTAAGATGGAGCAGTTGTTGCACAAATGCTTGTGTTGGCATAAAAGGAGCCTATGAGGAGAAAACCATTTGGCAGTGCTAGCTTCTACCAGTTTGAAGTGGCTGCAGAAGTCACAGCTCCCTTCCACCTTCTCCTCCTCCTTTCTCCTTACTTTTAAAAATAGGAAGAAGAGAAAAATCAGTTAATTAGAATAAACTAAGAGTACAAATTAGATTTATTTTTAAAGCAGTCTGCATTTTGTTTTGAAATCTGCAGTGGTATCAGACATGTAAAAAATATTTTAAGTTTAAAACACACTCAGCAAGAGGATATTTTAGAAAACTACATGAATTTTGCTATTATTACAGTGTCTTACCAGTTAGAAATTTAAAGACACAGATATTAGACAAAGAGCTTTTTCCAATAATTAATCCAAAGGTAAGCTCATTATTCCCTTATCATATTTGTATTATGAATGAGCTGATGCTGAATCAGGCCGCGGGGAGAGAGCTGTAATTGAAACCATAGTTCTTGTATCACACACAGATTAATGAACAGATTTTTTAACCTATTCACATGCCACGCTGTTTAAACACTCCTTTACTACTAGGAAAGGAATGAATAAACATTATGAAATAGGAGGAAATTATTTTAGTTGCAACCATCTCCAACAAACATGACCATACTGATGTCAACATTCAGTGCTTTGCATTTCTAGTTACTCTGCTCTCTAAGACTACATAAACCATACAAAGGCAGTACAGCCCACCATGTGCTATTCCATCTAAAAGTGCAGAAGACCTCTGCAGGTAATATAGGCTCTTGATAACAGTTCACAAACGACCATTCCTGCTCATCGCTTCTCTTTTATAAACACGTTTAAGAATCCTGTCTGCTCATGCCACAGACAAACCTTTACCTGCATTTTATTCCCACTAACATTATAGCCAATAAAGCAAAAAGAGGATAAAGCACAACCTGCTTTTTCCTCATATGCTACTAACACTACTTGGATATGTTTTCAGTCTCACAGGTGATGCTTAAAGTAAACATGAATGTTTTGAAGAGCCTACTTCAGCTGTTGATGCTTGTCTTGGACAGATTATGCATAACAACTCATCTTTGCTCTCCATTTCAAGGATGAAACATTGGCTGTTGGAGAACAATTTTCAACTAGCAAATGGACTGTAGTGTCAGACACAATTATCTTGAGATCTTCATTTACTGGTTGATAATTACTTTCTTGCTACAGTGACAGCAGGACTATGCTGTAAAGCCTAGTGTAAAAGACACCACTGAACTAAAGCGTGTAGTATTAGGATACTACACAAATTTTATGTGGACAAAACGCATAGCAAAGCCCTTTCATGTGGGATTCATATATCTCAAAACTGATAAATACATAGTCTTGCTAGGCTTTATTCTGTAAACAACTTTTACCTTGGTGAATAAAGTCAGCACTGGCTTATTTGCACTGGTGGAACAAAGTGGTCTCCCCAGTGGACTGTATGAATGTCTTGCTAGTTGTAATGTTCTGCTCAGAACACATAGCATCATTGTCCTGTTAAGGCAAAAAAAAAAATCTTTACTGTTTTGTGGCAAATTATAGCTATAAAATTTAATGTTAATATAAACGTGATGCTTCAGTTGCAGTTCTAAAATACACACGATCAGATAATTTCCCCAGGATTTTTATGCTCACTGTATCTACACATTAAGCAGAGAAATGGTTTACTATTCAGTGCAGCAGAACTGTTGTGTGGCTCTGGCTCAGAAATGTAGTTCCGTTTAAAAAAACCACAAACCTCAACACTGTATTTTCTTACTGAAATGCCTCTTCTAAATTCCCTAACACAAATGCTCACATAAATGCATTATGCTGTTTCAACTGCATAGATGTCAGTAAAAATTACGATATTAACAAAATGCAAAGTGCTGTGCTTTGAACCTAGTAATCTTGCTGAAGAGCTTGACGTATTCTACTTACTCAAATTATTCCATCAAGAAACTAATCTCTACCTAATCAGACCATTAATATAATGCTTTATGCAGTGAAAAAAAAGCTGCAGCCAAGACAATTTAACTTGGTAATACTAAAAGCATGCACGTTACCCCAAGTCTTTCCTGCAACAGCAAATTATTTCTTCAAAGATATTGATAGGTCTGCAATTTCTTTGGGAGAGTTTAAGTAAACTTAATGTTGAAGTGTGCCATGCTGGAGTCTTGAAGTCAAGTATTTATAGTAACACTAACAGTGCTTCCTCCAAGCGTGTGTCTTACCTTTACGAGGTATTTTAAGACTGAAAGGCAAAACAGAAGCAAAAGGGAGTCTGCACAAAGACCTGGCATCAGAATTTACACTGCGCAAATCAAGTCCCTTCTATATAAGGCCAAACTGCTTCTATTTAGTTTCTCTTCAGACATGACCAGCCAACTGTATCCTGGGTGCATCAAAAGGACAGCGTCCAGCAGGTTGACAGAGGTGATTTTCCCCCTCTACTTCACACTCATGAGACTCCATCTGCAGTACTGTGTCCATCTCTGTGATCCCCAACATAAGAAATATGTGGAGCTGTTAGAGCGAGTCCAGAGGATGGACACAAAGATGAACAGAGGGCTAGAACACCGCTCCTGTAAAGACAGGCTGCTGAGTTTGGCTTGTTCAGTCTGAAGAAGGCTCAGTGGAGACCTTAGAGCAACCCTCCAGTACCTAAAGGGGCCTACAAGAAATCTGGGGAGGGACTTTTTACAAAGGCAGGTAGTGGCAGGACAAGGGGGAATGGCTTCAAACTGAAAGAGGGGAGATTTAGGTTAGACATTAGGAAGAAATTCTTCACTGTGAGGGTGGTGAGACACTGGCACAGGTTGCCCAGAGAAGCTGTGGCTGCCCCATCCCTCTACCCTCTGGTAAATTTGAGTCCTCTAGATTCCCACCAAAACTTCAACTGAAGGGGAATGAGCAAGACAATATCAGAACCTAAGCTTCAAGATCTCACAAAAAGAATAATGTATCACACTGTCTTACTTCCTTACTAGTTTTAAATAATTATAAGCAACACTACCTTTGGAATTCAGGAGCAAATCTTTGCTGAGCAGTACTTCTACTAAAGCAAGAGTTTCCACAGTTAGCTTAAGACAGACTGGATGTTTTTTGTAAATAAGTTAAGGAAAACAGAGTCCTGTTGTCAATTTATTCACCTATGTGGAATGATACTAAGGCTATACAGTAATGCCACTTCCAAAAAGACTCAAAGGACTAATCCCAACTCATAAAATGACTCCACTCTCCATCCAGGCCCTAGTCATGCTCCGCTCATCCATTAGCATAAAACAGACTGAGACATTTGGCCCTGAGGGAGGGTGAGATACTGTCAGATGGCATCATGTTCCCATAGTACAGATGACACAGCTTGACTTCCCTGAGCTTCTGAAGCCCAGCTGCCAGACAGCATCATTAGGAAGCAGTCAGACCTGCTTGCTGAATTTAACCTGGGCTATAGCATGGTGCAACTTCAGCTTTACAGGACTGCAACAAAGGCTCTGCCCTCATAGAAACTTGCTTTTAAATCAGCAGAATTTACTAATCTTATCTATTTGGATTAAGTAATTAAGGCTGCAGATAAAATCAAATCACAGTGGTTTTGCACAAACACTGAAGGGTACTAACATAGTGGAGTGTTAAGTATAGTTGCTATTGATCAGCAGGTGAAGAAAGCAAATACCCTATCACTTACTAGGCAAATCTACTGCAGCAGTTCCATTTCTCTGAAGAGCACCCCAGGGCCACATGGGTGTTTAGTGCATACACACTACCATCATGTAAAAAAGTGGATTCTCAACACTGGCCTGCGCTAAGCTGAGCAACATTTCCAGAATGCAGAGCTCCAACCTCAGAGGTCACCTCCATGGTGGTTTCATTGCTGGGAGAAAGGAAGTGCCCCACTGATGCCCTTTAGGTGTTCACATCCAGCTCACATCTGTATCATATGTATCTTTTGTTATGAAGCAACTAAACTGTTAAAAGCACACACAAAATCTTTCAGTGTAGTTGTTCTGGAACTCAATTTAACCTACCCCCCAGTAATTGTAACAATTTCTCTTCAGAACAAATTTTATATGTAAATGTAAAAAAGGATGCTTGTGAACTTCAGAACTTACCCTTCCCTACACTACAATGCTACAGAATGATTTAATAAATGATACTTGCAAATCTGGACATTTCCCATGCTGTATTTTGCAAAGCCAAATTGGACTAATTTTCTGTTAACAGAATTTCCATCACTTAATAAATCCTCATCTGCTGGAAAAATATGATGTGACACTAAAAGTAGCCATTACTTAGATTAGATAATTACATGTATAAACCTCCTCTTAACATCAATCAAGGAACGACAAGCATGGCCGATTTCCTCTCCAACTATGTAAGTTTTAATGATGCTACATGCTCTTAAATAATCTCATCCTCAAGTCCCCAATATATTCTTGCTCTGTGGATCTGAATGTTTTATATGTGTAATTACCAACATATTTGGACAGGATTATGTTGTGTTTTCCACAGATCTGTACACATATACAGAAACATGAACTTATTGTAAACTTGCAGGCATTTGTCTGTAAATACTTTACATTCATGTAGCATTTGATTTTGGAACCCTAACCTGGGTTTGGCAGAATATGGGGATCACATGGACAAATCACATCTCTTTCTGCAAGTAACACATCAGGAACAGGAAAATATTACATTGAAAATGTCCTAGGCATTTTCTACCTACTTGTCTTAAAGAAACCTTGTGTCTGTTAAACTGATTCCTACCCACCATTTAATCCTAGGTGTAGTCTGACAAAGGAGTATCAAGTGAAAGACAACTGGGAAAGCAAGCAAATGCAAATATAAGAACACTTCATAGAATCATAGAATAGTTAGGGTTGGAAAGGACCTGAAGATCATCAAGTTCCAACCCCCCTGCCATGGGCAGGGACACCTCGCTCTAAACCATATTACCCAAGGCCTCGTCCAACCTAGCCTTGAACACTGCCAGGGATGAAGCATTCACAACCTCTCTGGACAACCTATTCCAGTGCCTCACCACACTCACAGGAAAGAATTTCCTCCTTATATCCAACCTAAACTTCCCCTGGTTAAGCTTGAACCCATTACCCCTTGTCCTACCACTACAGTCCCTAATGAAGAGTCCATCCCCAGCACCCCTATAGGCTCCCTTCAGATACTGGAAGGCTGCTATGAGGTCTCCACGCAGCCTTCTCTTCTCCAGGCTGAACAGAGGCTCAACAGGCTTCTCCAGGCTGACAGGCTGAGGACCCAAGTTAGTGGTGGTTTAAAACAGCCTTCTTTTGTTGTCCCTCATTCAAAACCAGCTTTGGTCTTCAAGGAAAGCAAACTTGCTAGGAGTCTGCTGTTGCCAGTTTGATTCCTTACCAGAGAAAAGCTGAACATGAAAACATGGGCCATAGCGGGAGACCAAGGAGCATGTGTGATTAGGGACACCAAATCCTTCAGCTGTTGAGATTCCAGCTAGGCTTTTACCCCACCAGCTGTTCAGAGGAGGTGTGCAAAATACAGGAAAATCCTGAACTTCTTTTTGCAAACACATTTAACTCCTCAGGTCTTTAGGGAAGAATCAGGTTTTTACATCAACTCAAAAATGTCATGAGTAATACACCTGTTTCTGTGAGGTGTTGTTGTCTATCAACTGATACATATTTCTAGGCATTTTCTCCTCCAAACTACTTACTACAGTAAACAAGGGGTAAATGTCACAAACCCACTGCATTCCATCCCAGGAAAGATTAAAAGTATGATTTCATGCTAGTGTGCAAAGAATCTTGTTTAGGGATCCCTTCAGTGGTATTCACTCTAGACTCTGGTCCAAGACCTGTACTCCAAATTTCAGAACTAAAAACCACTCAACAGGTTGCTGTAATGGCCACGAGCCTATTTCTGAAGCCTAAAGAATCCACGTATACAAGGGATCATTACCATACAGTGAAATTATAATAGTTTAAAAGCTTTTTTAAGCATCTCCATCTGAAAGCATTCCAGCCGAGTGATCCATTACCCCCCACGGCCGACTTCACCAGTTGGGTAAAAGAATGCATCCAGCGGTCTTCTCTTCATCGTCTCCTGTAATGGGAAAGCCTCATTTCTCTGGGTGGTATTTTCTAAAGCAATAATGCCCTCTACAGACAGAGTCAAAGCCCATTAAACAAACGAGACCCCAAGAGTCTTACCGCGCCGCGGCCCAAAGATCACCTCACCTCACCTCACCTCACCTCACCTCACCTCACCTCACCTCACCTCACCTCACCTCACCTCACCTCACCGCACCGCACCGCACCGCACCGCACCTCACCTCACCGCACGTCACCTCACCGCACCTCACCGCACCTCACCTCACCGCACCGCACCTCACCGCACCTCACCTCACCGCACGTCACCTCACCGCACCTCACCTCACCTCACCGCACCTCACCGCACCTCACCGCACCTCACCGCACCTCACCTCACCTCACCGCACCGCACCTCACCGCACCTCACCTCACCGCACCTCACCTCACCGCACCTCACCGCACCTCACCGCA